TCTTCTGAAATACCAGCCATCTGTGCCCCTTACCTACCTCAAGCACCAAATTTTATTTTGAGTTGAAATTTTCCGGACATTTTATTGACAAATACTCCTATCTGTAAGCAAAATCTCAGGTCGAAATACTGCAATTCAATACGTTGATATTTACTACATTCAATTCTAAAATTTTAGTAAAATACTTGTAATTCTAGACAGAAAACCTATGATCAGTTATCCGTTTGTGATTTTTCATATGAAGAGAATATGTATGGTATTCTTAATTATACATACTAACAAAATTTTCTTTTTATTCACATTTAATCCAAATTTTTTTTCCATTTTTCTCTTCATCTATGTAAATGAAGTAATTCTTTCATTCACTCTGATTTCAACTTTAATAGTTAAGCATTGTCTTTCTACATTGTATATTTACTACAACAAAAATTTTTTGTCCAAGTTATTTTTTATCTTAATTTTATTTTAAAACAACAATCATGCAATAGCATTCTTATATCTATTTAAAGTTAAATGTCACATCACTTTAATTATCGTTATTGATGAAGAATTTAGCTTGAAAAAATGAATACGAAATCAAAAGAATCTTCAACAAAAAAATAAAATAAAATAAAAGTTTATAATAATTGCATTTTTATTCCCATCCTTTCAACAACATATTCTGGCATACATAAAACAGGATTTACTTTTTTAATTATATTTTCATCATATGTATTTAATAATGATAATCCAGCTATACCAAATAATGTATGAAATGGATCAGGTATATTTCCTGGTCGATCAGCACATCCACCTGTTTCATCATCTTGTGCAGCTAAAATAAATTTACTTAATTTTTCACTATTAATCCATTGAATTTTTCCAAGAATTTTTAATGATGCTAATACCCACCAAGAATAACATACATCAGGTAATTTTTCAGGTCGACCATTTAATCCACCTGATTTATCTAATTGTCGTTCACATAACCACCATGCTAACATATTTTGTGTTGATAAATCAAGATTATCAAGACGTTGTACAAGTGATAAAAATCCTAAACAACAATATATTTGTCCAGCATGTGATTCAGCACCAGGTATACAACCAAAACCACCATCAAAATTTAAACAATTCATAATATAATTTGTTGCAAGATCAATATCAATAACATCTAATGAATCAATTAATTTTAAACAAGCAATTGCACAAAATGAAAAACGTGTATCAATTTCTCCCCATTGATCACCCATAAAACTTCCATCATTTTGTTGTAAATTTTTTATATATGAACATAAACTTTGTTTATCAATTAGATCTATTCGATTTAATTGTACAAGTAATTGTACAGCTGATAATGTATATAATAAATGTGGATCATGATTTTGACATGGTGAATAACCACCAGAATTTTTATCATAACATTTTTGTATATAATCAATAATATATTCTTGATCAATTAATTTTAATGAATGAAGTAAATCAAGACATGTACATAACCAATAAACACCACTCATACGAAGATAATCAGTTATACCATATTCATATGTATTATGTGAACGACCATAACCAGTTAAAAATGAACAATGTTTTTCAATAAATAAATCTTTTGGTACTTTAGAATAATCAATTGTTATATCACGTTGAGGTGTACCCATCTGAAAAATAAGAAAATTTTTATATATAATATGTGATTTTTTATTTTAATGAAATTAAACACCAACGACGTGGTGATTTGATCGGATCAAAAAGTGCTACTAAATATGATGATGCAGTCGGTACCTTTGAAAGACAAAAGAAAAAGAATTAAAATCATTTTAAAAAAAAAATAAAAATGAAACAAACAGATTCTTGAAGAAAAACAAGTCGATCGAGTAAAATCATCATTTCAATTAAACCAGAAAATAAAACTTTCAATTGAATAAATGTATGAAGTTGACGATGATATGATTCATAACGTATCCAATAATTATTGATCACATTCGATGTTATCTAATCAAACACAATATATAAGAAAAATATTTATTGTAGACTCCGACTAGTCTCCTGCAATTTCTAACATTACCCGGGAACCGAACTGGAACCGTCGGTTCCGGTTCCTGAAATCGAAAAAACAGCGGTTCCTCAAATTTTTTCGGAACCGAAAAAGAAACCGATGATTTTGCTGTAAAATATAAAATAGCGAGTGACTAAGTTAACGATTCCCGGTTCTACCCGCTTTTTTTCACGGTTCCGGTTCCGGGTAAGAGAAACAGAAAAATTCGATCCTCGGTTCGAATTTTATTGGAACCGCAGGGCACTAACTCCGACGCGATAGTTTTCGAAAATTTTCGGCACAAGACACGAATGAAGTGTTGTTCCAAATGACTCTTATTCATTGTTTTGTTTCTTCTATAAAGCTCTATAGAACTGATACATATGAATGTTACATTTTTTTTTAAAGAAAATCGTAACTATTTCCTTGTGTAGAACAAACAAAAAAAAAAAAAAAGGGAACGAAAGATATTTGATCTTATAAAATTTACTTTTGTTTTATCTAGTTTTAATTTGTTCAATGCTTTCCATACATATTCTTCAAATGTTAAAGATCTTTTCGTTAATTTTCCTAATTTAATATCTTGTAAATTAGTTGTTAATCCATAAATTTCAATAAGAATAACTTGCATTAATGCTCGATACCATAAACCAGCATTTAATGTCTATTGAAAATAATTTAAATAAAATAGTTCATCAAAATTAATCTTACTTGATCGGCTTTATTTCTTTCATATGATTGAACAGCAAGCATTCTTGCATTTCTACCTAATTTTGTTTTTTCTTCAATTAATCTATGACTCAATGGAAAACTACATGGATCAGTTTCATTATAATAATCTAGAAGAATTTTTTTTATTTATATTTTCATATTAAAATTCTTCTACATACTTGTAAATGAATTTGCAATATATTTTTCTTCTAATAAATGATAACAGCAAGCAACATTAGCAATAGCTTGTACAGAAGAATTTTTAACAAAATGATATAAAAGTGAACATGATAATGAACCACAAGCATGAAGACTACAAAGAAGAAATGATGATGAATGAAAATTAAATGTTTGATAAAATAATTTTTGAAAATTAGTTTCACTATCAATAATAGTTGATGTTGCTTTATATTTCGTATTATCACATAAATCTTTTTGATATTTTGATAATAGTTCTATACGTTGTTCACTACTATGTACGGTTGCTTCACATGATTCAATACCAAGAACATTTCTTTCATAATCATAAGAAATTTTTACACCTAAATAACCACGACCACTTCCATAATCAATTATCTTAAGAAATTTAAAAACAAAAAGAACATTAAAATTATTTAATGAAAGAAGAAAAAAAATAATCAATAATTTATTTTACCGCATCAGCATTAGACATATTAGCTAGTTGATCAAGAATAGGAGCTAAAATTTCTACTTCATGTTCTTTTTTTAGACTCATAAATGTTCGAGTTGTATGCTTATGTGATTTTGGTTTATTTTTATGTTTTTCTTGTAAAATATCTTCTTGAAATTTTTCATGTGTATATGTTATTTGTTCAATTTTTCTTTTCCATGAAATTATTTCATCAATAAATTTTTCTAATAAATTTTTTACTGGTAAAGATTCTTTATAACGTTGTTCAAATAAATCATATAGATCAATTATTTCTTCTTGACGAATCCATTCAGGTACATAAGTATTCCAATGATCACAAGTTAAATAATCAACATTATGAGTATTTAAAAATGGTAAATAAGGTTGAAGAAAATCACGAATACCAACAAGAATTTCTTCAGTCATGCAGTTTTTTGCAATCTAGAATATAATTCAATTAATCATGAATTTAGTTTTATATTTTAAAACTATCAAACAAAAGATCTATATTAATAAAAATATGTATTTATGTTTTAATTATTGTTATCATTTTATCTTTGCTACAATTTTTGAAATAATCCATGTGTATACTTTTCGCATAGTCATTAAATTAAAAATGAAAATCAAATAGCAGATAAAAGAATTATTCCATTAGATCTAATCAAGTACTAAGTGTTATATATTTTTTCATTTGAACTTGATCGTGAATAAAACAAGTCTTTCTTTTAATCTAAATTGAATAATTCACAACTTGTCTACATTATGACACGTTGTGTTTGAAAAAAAAACAACAGTAGAATATCTTCTAGAAGTTTTCTTTCGAAAATCTAATGTAATTTGACTCATTGCTTCAGACTTCTATTGGAAATGTTGGTGAATCATCAACATTCGTTATAACTGATCAGATTGTAAATTATAAATGAAAAAAAAGAATAACAATTTATGTCGCTTACATAAACATCATCAGCATTATGAATTTTACTTTTCAACTTCGATCTTATTTCAGACTAAATTGAACATCGAAATCAATGTCAATATCAAATCGATAACACATAAGAAATGAATATATATGAGTCATCATTACAAAGGAAAACGTCATGATGACTTGAAAATAATTAATAACAAAGAAAATAAATTAGAAAAACTTGAATAAAATATAGAATGATTATAAGAATTTACTTCATAGAATAATTTTATTGGAAGACGGTCGTTCCTAAGCAACGTTATGAAATGAGATTAATTCATGGTTGAGTTTATTGAATGCGACAATTCATATTTTTCATATATGTCTTTTATTAGTTAAATAATGAACGAAAAGATTTTTTTTCGAAGCGGAAACGAATTACCATTATATATCTAAAAGTGTATAACGCCATCTTGGTCTGCAGAATATACTTAGAATATGCATTCCGAAATAAAAATAATTAAAAGAGATCGAACTTTATTCTATTGAATTGAAGTTTTTTAAGAAAATCTTTATTCATTTTTTCCTATGTAAAAATTCGAATGTTAAGAACGTTTACAATAAGTACAAACTAAGAGTCATAGAAGTGTTAACCGCTCTGTTCTCTTCAAGAGGGGAAAGCGAAAATTGGTCGAACGAAAATTGGTCGACGCGAAAATTAGTCGAAAATTTTGTAATAAAAGAACAAAAGCTTTTTCCTAAACAGAAGCTCGAACTCTAACCTGTATCTTGAGGGTGAGAGTGAGGGTGACGGTAAGGCTGAGGCTGAGGACGAAAAAGTAGGCGTATTCTCGAGACAGAAAACATTACTATAATAATTACAAGGAGTTGCTCATTATTTCTGAACTACTATTCCTTTTTTCTATTTGTCTAAGTTATTTGATTGAATCACTATTATTCTCTAATACTAGCATATTAATACAATTAGTGTTTACTTCGCATGCACACTTCAAACTTCGAGCTTCTGTTTCAGGAAAAGCTTTTGTTGTTTTATTACAAAATTTTCGACTGATTTTCGCGTCGACCAATTTTCGTAGACCCGAAAGCAAATTTTTCAGGTATTGAGTGATGTTCATTTGTTTTTTTTACTATAAAATATATATAGAGATATTGAACCTATTATATTAATTAAAACTATTATCTTAGTTTAGTTTCCACAAATGATTTATATAGTTGGATCATTTATCATAAACTAGACCATAAGGAAGGATTGAATGCGTACAATTAGTTTCCTTCGTTATATAAATTATACAGCAAAACTGTCCTAAATGAGAATGAAAATATTGAATATTAATTTTTGCCTTTTTTTCATAAAAAAAAAAGTGAAAAGAAAAGAAATGCAAGAGTATTGTCAAATTTTGATGTTCGGAAAGCACAAAGTCAAACAATATTTTCAGCTTTGACTTAAGAACTAATGAGAAAATTTCACAATAATCGTCAATCTTTATCGTACAAAATCAAGAAAAAATCTAATCAAATACAAAAATTTAATCATTCGATACATTTTCTTTTAAACATGAATTTTTCATCTAATTTAATAGCTATCAATAGATTTGCGCTGCATGGATCTGAGCATGGGTGTAAATGAAATTAATATCTATCACAGATGAAATTTTGTTTGGTTTGAGATTTTTTGTTTCAGTATTTTTATAAGACTGAGCATGAAATTCTTGTCTTTACCTATATTAACTTATAACTATAAGCCGAGTACAATGATTATTTAAAATTCTTTTTAGTTACATATTAACTAAATTTCAATTTATCTTCGATGTGAAAACAATGTTTTTATTGCTTTTTATCTCTCTACATCATCGTACAATTACTAACGATAATACTATTGATGGAGTCAATATTCGTATAGGAAAAACAGTTGTATCGCCATTTTCTTTGATACAATGTAATCCAAGATATTGAAAATTCGAACCCAAACAATTCTTTAGTAATGATGCATCTGATGCTAATCATCATGCGTTGATGTTTGCTGTATTTGATGGTGGATATCATGTTTATGTTGGACAAGAATTAGCACGATTAAAACTAAAGTTAATCATTATTCGATTGATGATATTTGTTACTTTTGTTGATGCATCCGAAAACAACGGTGGTTATCTTCAAAGGATAAATGTTTGATCCAAAGAAGAACTTGCTGTTTTAATCAAATTCAATTGATTTTCGAACAGAATGCTCGCTATATGTAGTTTGAGTAAAGCATGTGTAGTAATCAAGCGAATATCTTCTATTGCTTCGTTCATTTTAAATCATTTCTAAATGTATGTCTACTTCTATATATAGATAAAACCATATATATATAAATTTCTCGAATATAAAGAGGGCGGAAAAAGATCAAAAGATTATTAATTTTACTTAAAATTTACTAAGAAAATGTAAAAGTTTAGATTGAATCAAAGACGAACAATAATATGAACTTGTTTTGTAGTTATACAGATATGATCGAAATTGTCAAAATAATTTTCTATTTATTATATGCTGTCAAGTATGGGTGAATACTGTTAGAATGTCTCAAATATTTCAACAAGGAACATGCACTATGTTTGCGAACGACATTGTATGATTATGTTATGACAGTTTTAGTAAACATGAAATGTATGTGAAAATCTAATCAAATAAATCATGTAAAATCTAAATTTGACAACATTTATATAATCGATAATTTAACTACTGAGAAGCGATGGTATTCTATGGAAGAATATTCAAATATTTATTGAAATCATTTTTTATATAATACTATCTAGATCTTATAAGAAGAAAAAAACTCTTATTTAAAAAGCATAGATATCTATGAGAAGGGTGTGACAATTATTTTTTGTATCAATATGTTCAACAAAAATAGGAAATAGTAAAAATTTTTGATTTGATTACATAGGTTATAATAAACACAATCATATTGTGACATGATGACAACAATAGTATGTTCAATTCGAATGATGTGTTCGTTTTCATTATTCAATAGATAAAACAAAAGTGAGTAGTAAAAAGTCCATTTATTCATACGATTGTTTGATAATAACCATTTAAATTTAACATATAAACTATCTTCGCAATTATACACATCCTATTCATAATATATTTGGTCATTCTTTTAAAACTAATAATCGTATTTTGATCATGCAAATGTCACTATTCTGTAATTCTATACTAAGAAATGAACAGTACTTTTTTTAAATCCATAAGTAAATACTACGGTTAGTTTTATTTACACTTGAATATTTTTTTTTTGACTATGTATCATAGTGTGTGCTCAAACACTATGTTCCTATTGGAATAGTTAGTATTATATGATCTGGTATTTCTATTCCAAGATAAAATGATGTGGTTGATAAAAATCAAATGAGTGTTTATTAACAATCTTAATGCTAATATGAATAAACATATCATTGAAAAATTATCTTAAATATAAATTTTCATCTGTGCAAAAATCATAAACATATTCTAGCCATTCAAAATTTCGAGAAAGGTTTTAGAATGTCGACTTAAAACTTATACTAACTATATTTTTCTTTGCAAAAAAAAGAAAAAACATAATGTGAAGTCCACAAAAATTAACAATTGTTATATATTTTATGTATGTTCTACAATTATCTATAGGTAAAATATTATTAATATCAATAGAGATTTATTCATATATATGTTTTTTTATTGTATTGTGACCACTCTCGGTTGCATGATAAACAACAGGTTTACTATAAATATTCCTTTGAGTTAATTATTTACTATTAAAATGAGAAATCAATAGATTAAATTATAATATCAAATATGATTCGTAGAATTACTAATCATAAATGGTAACATATTGTTATCTATCCTTGAATATCTGACATTGCCTCCTGCTGTTGCTTAGAGTATCTTTTAAAATTTATTGAATAGTTCGGTCTGTTTCCGATAATGATCTGATTGACATTACAATTTTCTCAGACGACAGGTTAAATAGACAGACTAAGCATATGTATGTGACGAGCTTGACAGTTCAGAGTAAATCACAGTCAGACATCTGCATCTTAACGATGAACTATCTCATACTTATTTGTTCATATATGTCATGGAGTGATGATGATGATTGAATTGTTGTTCATTTATTTTTCTTGTTGGTGAATACATTTCAATTTTACATGTCGATTTGTCAATACTTAGTTCTGCTACCCATCACTAATCATAGATCTTTTCTCTCATATATATTTTTTTCTCTTTCTCTCTCTCTCTCTTTCTTTGCTATAATAGCAGAACAAAAAAAAAAAGAAAAAGAAAGAGAACAATTCGATATATATATATATATATAGTTAAAATTATTTCTTCAAATCCAATCATGACATCATCTATATCATCATCATCAATGCCAAGTCCTGAATTAATTATATCAAAAACATCTAATAAATCTTATTCAATTGAACTAGGAATAATTATATTATTTCTTTGTTTAATTATTCCATGTTTAATTATTTTATCACTTATTTATCGACAACAAAATTCTTTATCATCAATAACAAAAATATCATCGAATAATAATTTTCAACGTATATCATTAATGAATTATTCACAAGCACGTTGTATGGATAATAGTATAGCTTCATATTATATATATTTAACAAATAATAATAATAATAATAATAATTCTCGTTGGTTAATTTATTTTGATGGTGGTTGGTTTTGTTATTCAAATGAATCATGTGAATTTCGTCGACAATATTCACCAAATTTTATAACATCAAATAATATAAATAAAGAAAATTTATTTAAAGGAATATTAAAATCATTTAAACAATTTAATATTATCTATGTACCATATTGTTCATCAGATTTATGGTCTGGTTCATCGAATAAAACTCATTCACATGGTTATGATATATTTCATGCTATATTTCATCAACATAATTATTTTTTAAATGCAAAACAAATTATATTTATTGGTTTTTCAGCTGGTGGTGTTGGTTTATTATTAAATTTACCTGATTTATTAAGAAAATTTTCATTAAATATTGATATTCGTGTTATTATTGATTCAGCTTGGTTTATTGATTATAAAAATAATTCAAATGGAATATCAAAAATAAATCAAGGTATGATCTATTGGAATACACAAATATCAAAATTATGTCAATTAAAACCACATTATAAATGTTTATTAGGTAGTGAAGCTATTAAATTATTTCCATTAAGAGTTAAAATATTTATAATACAATCATTATTTGATTTAACACAATTACAATTTGATAATATTAATATAAATTCATATGATTTTTCATTAAAACTTCTTGATAATCTTCATCAATCAAGTAATCGTATATCGATATTTGCACCATCATGTTCTTTACATGGATTTTTATTTCGTTCGATTTGGTCTAAATTTAATATTAAAAAAAGAACACTTTCATCTGTACTTAATCTATGGTTAAAAAGAAAAAAAAAACATTTTCATTTACATTTAATTGATCAACATTTTTATTCAAGTTATTGTCCACAAAATGATGATGAAGTATAATCAAGAAATATTCTAAACTTCTTTTTTTCTTTGTTATTTTGCTTATTTATAAGCATTTCTTTTCTATATGTAAAAAAATTAATATATAATGGTAAAAAGAACAGTATGATCAAATGAAATTTGTTATTTATATCTGTTGTGTTTTGTTCTTTTTTTTTTTGTGGATAGTAAAAGACACCGATAATGATAAAATTATAAAAATTTAATTGAAATTCTATAGAAATGAATTGCATGATGGAAAGATATTTGTATTCATTACCTGTCTACTGAAACATTGTCTATTAGTATTGAACACTAAGATTATGATCATTAGTCTACATACTCACTAGAGAATTACGTAAGAAGATCATCACTTTCCTTTCTTTTTTTTTTGTCTTTATTTAAACTTACATATTTACTCCAATTAGCAGTGGCATAATAATGATGAAATTCGTAAGAATATAAAAGGTAGACAGCAAAAGAGTGTAACATAATTATCTCACAATTTTTTCTTTTTGTTATAAACATGTACATAGTGACATATATAACAATTGCCACAATAATAATTTTAAATGACTACGAAAAGAATAGATATTTGTTCGTTGTTCTACTATTTAAACAAATGTTTATTGCGTATGTTAAAAAAAAAAGAAACAAATACTCTTAACAATCGGATATTGATCTCGACAATGTCAAGGAACATTTCTATACAATGTGAAAATATGCCTATCCTCATGTGTATATCTATTGACAAATGTGTCAGTGTGTTGCTTTCACACATACACTTCGTCGAGACTCTTACTGACATGTAACTTCATCATTTCTTCAAGAATAAGTGTCAAGATATATGGTATACAAACGAGAATTTTAGAGTCATCTTCCGGGCATATTCTTTCAATAGAAGACAAAAAAAAAAGAGTGATGTAGGAAGTACAAAAGCATCAAATGCTTTTAGGATAGACATAGAATGCCGCCGTTAATCTATTGACATTGAAAAAGAAAAGATGCTAGAAGGAACATGAATAAAAAAAAAAAAAACGAATCAAACTTAAGTGTATCTTCCTATAACAATCTAAATCCATTAACACACATTCACTCAAGAAGTTTTTAGAGACGAAGAAATATATCGTATTACTTAACATACATATATATATATATACAAAGATTGAATATCTCATCTTGAAACAAATACATACATACATATATAAATATATATATATATGCCCTATATGACTAGATCAAGTGGATAGATAAGAATATCTCACAAAAGATTGCTCTTATATATATATATATTTGTATACATTAAACATCCTTGATAGATATTAACTTCTTCTTTTATATTTCGAATATAATAAGAGAGATTAATTTTCAAGAATGTAACATAAGCACATAAAAGAAAACGATTGAACACTGCCATGAAATTAAAATAGAAGGTGGAGAAAAGACATTTTTCTCTTTTTTTTTTTTTTTTTTTTTTTGATGACAGGTCATACTTAATTCTCAGGTATACAATCCATTCTAATTGTTAGATTATGTAAACTAAAAAGAAAGGATGATTATGTACATATTCAATCTATTACCATTTAAACAATTATAAATATAGATAGCAGTATTGACAGCAACATTCACATACTGAGTAAATTGAATACCGAAAAATGTTTGATAAATTTAATTAAATCGACCATTTGTATTAAAAGAAAAAAAGTTATTCTATAGGTCGACAAGGTTGAAGAATCGCCTTTTTTTTCTGTCTTATTATACATACTGATGTAATTTTATTGATAAATTTCTTTAAAACTGGATAATAATTAACAAAGTCTGTTATATCTAATAGAAAATATAAATAAATAGAAGTAATTGAATTAGTTTTGCTGATTAATAAATACACCAGATTTCCAGGGACGAATTATTCCAATATGTATCACATAATTACTTAAGTCTAGTTCTTCAAGTAGACATAAATCAGATAGAATCCAATATGCCAAGACTTAATTTGGTACACAAGATCACGAACAGTAGTAGCATAAACAGATGAAGGTCCTTCATTCCTACAAATGATTGAGATTCATGGCTAAAAAGCCTTGAGCTTCCCTTTAGAGATATAATCAAAGGAACTGAATTCTTCTAAAAAAAAATTTCTGATGATACTACTACTAATGTATAGATCGTCCTCTCAAATTACATTGCCAACTATGTTACAGAAATGGTATACGCTAATGCATTATATTGATAAAGAATAAACACTAACTTGTAATATAGATACTTTTGATGATAAATTATGTAAATAAACTTTTAAAAAAATCGAGGGATTATCTTTTGTTTTATGTGAAACTTGAGAGTGAATTATAAGTCTTATCTAATTAAACAAAATTTTTAATGTATATTGTCATTAGGCATGTGCGAGACCAAATCAAAAAGAGGACGTCCATGTAGAGAATGGCTGGACGATATCATAGAATGGTGTGGACACAGTGGACAAGACCTGTTCCATCTGGCGCAAAATCGGAGACAATGGAAAAACATTATCCGATCAGTGGTTGGCCCCAACGGGCGATATGCTCATGGGACATCGTGAATGTGCGAGACCAACCCTTTTCGATTCTGCTTCCATAGGGATCGAAGCTATCTTATCCGTATCTAATCGTTATACAGCTAAGAAAGATTTTTATAGAGTTTTTGAACACTTATCCGATTCAAAATAAAAGGTTACCGATTTTCGAATAAATTTTGATAGGAATGAGATAGAGAACTGCAGTTTTCACCATTCGAAAGAGAAATGTTCAGGCCATCGATTGGCATAGAAATCATTAAGGCGAAAGATGTTTTTTGTTTTTTTATAGGTATTTTTAGATCAACACTTTTTTCCTTTGAATATTTTTACAATAATCTCAACTCAATTTATGTGAAAATGTAGCTCAAATCATCCTTTTTTCGCTTTAAAAATCTGCTTAGAATAAGAGATCGAGAGATAATGATATATATGATAATTTTATAACAAAAAAGAATGACTTGAGCTACATTTTGACATAATTTGAGTTGAGATTATTATGAAAATTAATGCAAATACTCAAAGAAAAAAGTGTTAATCCAAAGATACTTATAGAAAAAAAAAAAAATCTTTCTTCTTAATAAATTTTATACCGACTGATGATCCGGACATTGTTTTTCCGAATGGTGAAAACTGCAGCTCTCTATCTCGTTCGTATCAAAGGGTATTCAAAAAATAGTAACCTGCATTTTATTTTGAATCCGATAAATAAATCAGTTAACTTATCAAATAATTCAATACAACAAATTTTAATGATATTCAATCGTCATAAATATAACTACTCAAGTCAATAATTCCAGCGCTCACATCCGTGAATTTTCGGCAAGATCCTGTAGGAAAGAAGTCATTTTCGACTGGGAAAGTCAGATTTATGGTAGACACATGAAAGTAAGAATCCTGATGATCGGATCGGTGATCAGACTTTTCTATTTCCGATAGTAACTGGACAGACTTAGTCCATCAAATCCGATCACCAGATTTCTACTGTCATGTTTCTATCATTTTCTTGAATATTTCGACTGAAAATGATCCGTGTTTCTTGGCTTGGGTAGTATTGATTCGTTTTATTGAAAATATCAGTTGTAGAAATACAATTTTGCAGTTCGTATAATAAATACTAGGAGTGAATGAAGTAATTCATCAACAACAATGTGAATAAATAAACATCGATTATTGAACAAAGAACTATTGTTTAAGAACTAAGACATTTGAATTATTGAAAACTCATTGTACCGTATTTTTCGAACACTGTAATATATTATTCGTTTATTTCGAAATAAATATTCTGAGAAAGTAAATAATATGAATTATTTAATAGAAATTATATTTAAAAATATTGTTTATCGATTTGAAAAAGTGTTAATTTAAACAAGATTGAACATATATCCATATTTACTCGAATTACTTCATATAGATAATTCCAAAAAAAAAAAAAACTATAACAATTGAAAAAGTACCTATAAAGAAAATTCATTCTATATTCTATAACTTTCTTTTATTACCCAAAAATGATTATTCAGCATTTCAAATACTAAAGGGTAGTTGAAAAGTTTTAATCCCTCTCACGAGAAAAGGTTCCCAAATGATCCATCGCTTTTTAAATAGGGACTATATACATTATGCAGGTCATAATGAGTTATGAATACTCTAAAAAGAGTTCGGGTCCATAGCTTATTGATATCGAGATACTACATTTTTACGGTATTTTTAAGCATTGTGCTGTGATCTCCTCCAGGAACATCATAAAACCTAAGTTTGGAATTTTGATTTGAAACTTTTTACAGTGACAGATCTCAATGAAAATAGTTTATTGTAAAAGTTTTAGATTTTCTGATTGCTCCTGTTATGGAATAAGAACCTCGGAATCTACTAGCGTGTATCTGGGATATACAAGCATGCTTTTACTATAACTGTATCATAGAATAGGAACAACTAAGAGATCTGAAACTTTTACAATAAACTATTTTACTTAAGACCTGTCACTATACAAAGTTTTAAATCTAAATTTCAAACTCAGTTTTTGTGATGTTCCTAAGGGAGACCACGGCATTGTGCTTTAAAAAAACCGTAAAAATGTAATATCTCAACAGCAATAAACTATCGACCCGAACTCTTTTCAGAGTATTCATAACTCATTATGGCCTACATAGTCCCCACTTAAAAGCGATGGATCTCTTGGGGATCTTCCCTCGTTAGTAAATTGATGATATCCATAATAAACCTATATATACTTAATTGATCGAAATACGTAAATATCGTATAATCTTATTGTCATTTTACTAATCTTGAGAAAATATGTTCATCTAATATTTTTTAACAAAAATAAAAAAAAAAAAATAATTTTTCATAATAATTATAATTCTTTTGCTTGCGAAAGATTTTTTATATCAGGCTAAGTGAGAAAACAATGAATACTGTACATTATATTCATTCATCGGAAGGAGTTAATCTACTAGCAATGAAGCGATTGTTT